TTTTTTACTGGATGATGTTGGCAAACCTCCGGCGAATACCATCAAATTGAGTGAAAAAGAATATATTCAATACATTATAATAATGCTGTACAAATTTGATGATTTCCGTCCATTGGATTTTAGTTGAACCTTAGGCCTTCACGAACTAATAATTCATTTATTCTATCCAAATTCCAAAATAATCTATTTAAATATATGCTTTTCAATTATGAAGATTATGTGTGGAAAATACTCAACAATAATTGGATGAAACTGGCTTTATTGTACGTTCAAAATTTTGATCTAGCAACTAGCCAAATTTAGTAGGTTAGAGGAGGCTGTCGTTTTCTTTCGCCTATGTTGAAGGGACAAGTTTCCCTTAGTGTTTTAATGATAATGCTAGTGAATTTTCTTGCACTTTGTTTCTTTGATTACTGTCTAGTTTTATTTTTTATCGGCTAGATTTGTTTTTTGTTTTGTTTTTTGTTTTGTTTTTTAAATAGCCTTAGTGCCATACGTTTATGAATGCCAATTGGTTGGATATTTTCATTGATTATACAAGTTTTATTAAAGAACCGTGTGTGCATTTAATCTTTATTATATCATTTTGAAGTGTCTTTCATTTTGTGGAGCTAGTGGAGCTCAGTACATACTATTTTTTATTAAGTGTTTCTTATCGAGTTAATGTTGAAATTAATTGTCTAACAATATCGCATTTCTTTCTCAAGGAACCTGTCTATATAGATCAATATTTGTAATGCATTTTCATATTTATTTTTAATATTAGTCCGTTAAATACATCAGATATCCAAAAAAAAAAAAAAGTATATGATTTGGATTGAATCCTTTATAAATAGTTTTTTTGATTGAGAAAATTGTTTAACTTACACTTAAAAGTGTATAATTCTGAATTTTAGCCATTTACTCTTAATTAATATCATTTTAACTAGTATAGTATTTGACTAAAAATATGTATTAATCAATAACAATAGATAAAAATCTAAATTCATACACTTTAAATGAGTATTTGTCTCATTTTTCATTTTGATTTCTGGGTGGGTTCGTAAGTTTCTAAATAACTGGGCATGCGAAAAACAGTTGCAATACATTTTGTGTCGTTTGTGTGTTAACAAAAACGACGTTTTTTTTAGGTAACCACAACAAGTAACGACAAGTCGTTTAATGTACCAAACGACTTTAAAAAGTAAATTCATTTTATTACCATGACATTCAATGATCAAACAACATAAAACTTATGTCATATCTTTCCCACAACCCAACGGCATGCAGTTTTAATGTCGAAATAAATTTTGTGAAGTTTGTGTTAACAAAAGAGACATGTCGTTTTGACTCAATGATGATGAATACCCATAAGTCGTTTAAAATACCAAACGACTTAAAAAATAACGACATGTTATTACAATGACATTTAATGACTAAACGACATAAAACTTATGCCATATCCTTCCCACAACCTAACAACATTAAGTTTTAAGAGTCGAAATGACATATCGATTTTATGATCAATCTACATAAAATTGAGTTAATTTTCAAAAAAAAAAAACATAAAATTGAGCTCATTCACGCAGGATCACAGCGCCTCAAAGCAGGAAGATTTCACTGCCTGCAGCGACAATATTGGCATCTCCCTATGGAACAACCAGGGCTGGCTCAAGTATATTTGGAGCCTTTGGTGAAAATGTTAAAGAGGTTTTTTTTTTATAAAAAAAATAAAGAATATATATATATATAAGAGAAAATTCAGCTAAAGTAATTAAAACTCTAATTTTATTGTCTTTTGGGATGCAAAGTTATTAATTAAATATTTATATTGAAGTTCATCTAATAAATTTTGATCATTAGACAATATAGTTAATCTATTCAATCCTTATATTTTATTTACATGCTCCATCAACCATCCCATAATCATCTTTTTAGCAAGACTATTTTCTATCGCTTTTTCTACCGCAATTTCACTATGTAATGATTTTTGGTGGTGGTGGTTTTGTAGTTTGTAAAATAGATATTGTTGATATCTATTTATATGTAAATCATCATAACCTTTTTTAAGGTTTATTGTGCTTAATGAAAAAAAAAATGTGTCAGTTGGTTAAAAATAAAAGAAAATGAGTCGGTTAAAAATAAAAGAAAAACCGTTCATTTGCCTCCAAAACAGATTCAATAGAGCATTGATTAAAGGAGCCCATTAAATGTGTGAAATTAACTAAAGAGAGAGAGCATTTTATAATAAATGATAATAAGTTCATGTTTACTTTGCATTAAAGAGAATGAGAAAATAAAGAGTAATTCTCTTTTTATTTAATAATGTGTTAACTTTTAAAATTAGTAATAGAGATTTAGTGGGTCCACAATATAGGAAATGAGAAAATGAAATATCAATCTTTATACTCCTTTTAGTGTTAATTTTTTGTCAAAGAGAATGAATGTTAAATTTATTTATCTACCCTTAATGAATGAATGACTATACAATCAATAATTATTTAATTATTTAAAAAATACATTTTAATGATTACATTCATAAAATTTCTATTCTTAATTTTAGTAACATAAAAAAAGAAATGAGGTTGTTTTCTATTACCCTATCTAATAGTCAAGTAAACATATAAAAATAAATGAATTATCATTAATAGTATTACTTTACTTTCATTTCCAATCTCATTACTTTTCTTATTACATTTTTTACGGTTCAGTAAACGTGTAAATTAAGAAAATTGACGGTTCATCTCTCTTAGAAAGAAGCCTACTTTATGGTTCCAAATTCTCAAGTTGGTGTGTTTTTTTACACCCAAATTTAAAAAAAGTTTAGACTCAAGTTACAACTTTATTTAAGTGTATGTTCTTTTGTAAAATTTGAGTTTAAACTTAAGTTTGGGGCTACAATCTGAGTTCCAGTTTCCTCTTCAACTAATGAACAGTATTTTCTCTATTCTTAAAAACGTCATAATTTTTTCGTTTTAATTCCGATTGAGATGATTTTTTTTCTATGCATTCACAACGAAAAGACAAACAAAACCCCACCGATATACACTGTTAAAATTTTATATTATCATTGCTTTTTTATTAAAATATTATCTAAATACAAACTCAAGTTTTGACACACCTAAACACAAACTCAAATAGATTCATAATTCAAATCATAACTCAAATATGCACATTTAAACACAAACTCAAATTAAATTCTCAATTCAAACTATACTTAAATACATTATAACTCAAATTAAAATCTGAACTCAAGTCACCCAAACTCAAAAAGTGTAAAAAAAATAAGTTAGTTGTTCTATAAAATTTTATTTAAGTAAATATAATAGATTAGTTATGAGTCATAATAAATTTGGCGGCTTAAACTATTTGGAATCCTAGGCGATTGCCTAATCTGCTAGCCAGCTCTGGAAGCAACAATATCTCGTTGGATTGCAGTAAGTTCTCACAACTAGAAGATCAAAATCTCCCCAGAATTCATCACGACAAGATCTCACTAGATGGTGGCCGCCTTACGTCCAACCATGTATTTTTCTGGATTTTTTTTTTCTATTTTCGTTATGATTTTAAAATTCACGGACAGAATTAAACCACTGTAATTGACTTTAATTATTTGTTTGTGTAGATTTTTTTTTAATTTTAAACCACTGGGTTTAATGAAAGAATAGATCAAAATCGTGTTTTGCTACCGTAAAATGCTTTAAAAAATCGTCACATCTAATTTTTTTACTACAATAAATAACTCTCACATAAATTCACATCTCAACTCAAATTAAAAACTCGAATAAGCGAACTAAACGAACCTTAAAGTTATTTAATTCTAAAAATTTCACAAGTTTAATTTTAAAATCTATGGTTTAATCTAAAATAAATCAATTGTTTAGTAAAAATAAACAAAGTGGTTCCAAATGTCTCATAAACTTTGAAACTTAGTTAAACATATCATTCGAATTGTGAAAAGGATTCATGTCACTCTTTGAACTATATGAAATCAGCCAAAACACTACTTAAATTAATATAATTAATAAATGCCTCATGAATTTTATTATTTTTTTAAATCAATAATATGACACAAAATCAATAGTTTGAGTGGTAAATTGACTCAAAATCAGTAGCTCCAGTTTCCCGCTTTGTTAAAAATTTTATTATAAACAAATGAAAAAACACGGGGTTTACTATTTAGTAATGTCATGTCATAAAAAATAAAGGGTTAAGTAAAACTAATTCTCCTATTTTTCGGTCAATTTTTAACAAAAATTATATTTTTAAGAGGTTACATAGACTGGTTCAAAATTTAAATAGTAAATCAAGAGTTTTTAAAATTTAAAGACAAAATAAAAATGACCTTAAAAGTTAAGAGCATAAATAAAATAATTCTATAAAAAGTTAAAGGTTTTTTATGATCAGAATTTCAGACTCAGACATACTTCATTGTAGTGTATATTTAGGGTGCCTTTATAGTGAAAAAATGTTATTTTACTCCGACTCTAATATTTGTGTTTTAATAGTTAGATTAATATTTAACAGTTTGATTTATAATAGAAGTAATTTTACATTGCGTTATAAAATAATGCAGATATGTATACAAATTTGTCTACTAGAAAATTAATCTAACGGTTAAAAATATAAACTCCTATCGATTGAGCAAAATGACCGTCTCCACCGTAAAAATTTCACACGTTTAGTATAAACCAGGTTAATTTCACATCTAAATAATTATAAAAAAGAAATGAGTGTTTCTCTAATAGTATCTAAAAAATGAAATACTAATAATTTTATATTTTCAATAGTTAAATATGTATAAAAAATTATCTATTCTACATAATTTTTTAATATAGTATTTTTTTATTAAATTGAATAATCAAAAACTCGCCCAGAAGGTCCTACCATAAAAAATTATGATAAAGTGAGTGCTAAAATCTAATACAAATCTAATGGTGAAGACATATTTTATTTTATTTTTTTGGGCTAGAAACGAGAATTTCAAAGAATCCAGCCTGATTAGTTCTCTGTACTGAACAGACATGACTCAGCAACATTCCGGTCCAAACTCACTTTTTGCCATTACCATTTGGAAAATATAAATCAGCGAAAACCTGAAAACGCGCGAGCCAAATTGTAAAGTCTAGGGTTTTCTGAATCGACTCGGAGGGAAATTCAAAAAACAAAAAAATTAATACAAAAATCTAAACTTTATTTTCCCCTCTTTTGCAGAGACGAAAGAACAGGATTCGTTCATGGACCGTCTTCGTCCTAGAGCGAAGAAAGTCTTTACAGGCTTCACAAAGGCAGAGGTGATTCCTTATTACTCTTCTTCTTTCTCTCTCTCTCTCTGTTTTTTTTTTTTTTTCTTTTGGGGATTTTCTTGTGTGATTGTAAATTTTCAATCTTGCACCTTTTTTATTAGTTATTGATATTATTGTTATTTTATTTTTCTGCTTTGCTAACCTGCATTGTGGATTAATATTTTGCTTGTCAAATTTCCCTTCTTTTTTTTTTTTTTGAGAAATGATTCTTCAAGCAAAGAAAAGAAATTGGATATGCTAAATTCTAAGAAGTATAGATATATATTTATATGTATGTATGTATGTTAGCTGATTTGTTGTGTAGTTTGATGTAAATTGGTCAGTATGGAGTTTTCTTGTTTAGAAAAATAGATTAATTTCATAACAATCTGAGTGATGTAGACACAATTGAAAAGGGTTGTCTTTGTTTGAATATCTGATCAGTCTTCTGAGATCATCTAGTACAGATTTTTGGTGGGTTTGCGTGTGTGTGTGTGTGTGTGTGTGCGCGTGTCTATATATAT